TTCTCTCTCATTACGAGTTAAGGAACAGTAAGCCAGCTAGCACTGACTCACTTTTTACAGAGTGGCAACTTGAAATGTCCATGGATGAAGCATAAACACCTGGGAAAACACTACGACTATTTTCGATAAAAATGATCCTGGTTCAATAATTGCGACTGTTATGTTGCAGGCGGGTGGTCGGTTGAAGGTAAAAGGAAAGTATTCCGTTGCTTTCGCTTTAAAAGGACGAGAGTTAATAAATCGAGAAAGCACAGAATTTACTTATCAGGTATTGAACTGTATAGGACTTTCCTCAACGTTTGAACTTATAAAATTTTGTTTTGAAATATCAAATATGATGGAATGGCGGTAATAATACTAATATATGACCTAGAGTTGACATATGACGATTATCAACTGTGGGCTGAACTTCTCAGTTCGCTTTTAATTTACCCTTTCACTCGCAAGATCAAGATCTTATTAGTAATTCTCCTCAATGAGTGCTATAAATTTCTTATGATTTTCTTTCGGAGAAATTGTTACTGGATCAACTAAAAATCCCCAAATTGATATTTCTCTCTATTCTCATTAATTGTCTGCTCTATATTGTATTGATATTGTTAGGAGAAATTTTGTCTTGGTCACTCATGGGAGTTAAAGGATTAGATGGATTACTTTTACTGGTCTTAAAAATATATGGCCAGATGATTCAGCCTCTAAATCGCATCCTTTATTTTGATACGACGTTTTAAAATGTACAGAATACTCTCCTATTCATTTTCAATTTGACGGGTTCACAGTTAGCCAATTCAAAATTATAATTATGGTAAACGCAGCCCTTGGAAAGCTGATCCAATGCGACTCGTTGTCTAAATTTGTACGTTTGCTGAACTCGTTTTGTTGACTGGGTAAACTGTTCCCCTTTATGTCCCAATTTTCCCTTCTGTAGAATAGAATTTACTGAGGGTGGTATTTGTTTCCGTTGGATTTTGTTCTCGTTGTTTTGCAATGTTTCTCCATTAACCCTTTCACTCCCACAAGTGACCAAGACAGAATTTCTCCTTACAATATGAATACAATATAAAGCAGGCAGGTGATGAGAATAGAGAAGAAAATCAATTATGGGATTATTAGTTGATCCAATACCAAATTTTCTGAACTAACATCATAAGAATTGTATGGCAGATAGTAAGGAGAATTGCTAATTCGATCTTGGGAGTGAAAGGGTTAAGTGGCGAAACAATGCAATTCAGTGTTTTGATAGTTCGGCTATAAGTTGAATGAAACCACAATGTTTCTTGGGCTATATTCTGATAGTTCCCTTGTTCTGGTTTTTAAAGCATGTATTGGATAGTTTTATTGCATTCGCTGAACCTCAAGACACCATTGTCTGATAGTTACAGTTTCTGTAAAGTTGATTTAGGCCGCAATAAGGTCTAGACTCTCATTAAGCTTTCAGAGACCGAAACTTTTTTTATAGAGAGGAGTTTATATTCAGCTTTGATGTACAACGGGTTTTAACTTTTAATTTTGTAGTTTCAACTTTTGAGTGGCCTTCCTGCTGAGAGTTTTTCTCTAGTTCGCAACCCAAAAAAGTTTCCTTTATTTTTTTTCCTTGGCGAGAGAAGGGTTGAGGAAACACATTTCAAAACGTCCTATTTTCAACTACTCGTTTCAGTAGTGTACTTAGCTGCGAGGATCTCTTAATTTCATCTCTTCACCGCAGTGCAAATATATGAAATTCATATATCTAAAATCTTCATTCATTACTTGGATGGTTCATTTGGACCCAACACATTGATCAACTCCCAGTTGGCTTGTTAGCTCGGTTGGTAGAGCACTGCACTGGTATCGCAGAGGTCATGAGTTCAAATCCCGTACGGGCCTGAATTTTTTTCAGGTCCTATTTTCAACTACTTGTTTCAGTAGTGTACTTAGCTGCGAGGATCTCTTAATTTCATCTCTTCACCGCAGTGCAAATATATGAAATTCATATATCTAAAATCTTCATAGTTTGATTGTTTTTCGATTCTCTTTTTTACGTTGCCACAACCTAAATGATGCACGTTTTAACCAAACTGCTTGAAAGGACGGCGATCCAAAATTTGCCAATTTCAAGCGCGTTACCAATTGAACAATTTAAAAGCTCTCGAAATTCTAATTCTTAATTCACGAACAAAAAAATATGGAAAGTCCAATCGAAATCCTATGCATACATATACCACCGTGGTCAGATCAAATCCTTGTCTTCAATTAACCCTCACTTGCGAAAACTCACCAAATGAAAGGTGCGATTTCTCAAAACTAGTCAGGACTAAATCCGGCTGGAAATGCACATCAGGGCAAAATCTTGTTTTCGTCGACGCAAATTGATGCGTTTCCCTGCACATTACACTTGTCGAAGCTCATCAACATAATTCTCAAAGAATTGGGGAAAATTCCTTTTTTCACCTTTCGGTTTGGTTGTTTATTGATCTTTTACTTAAAGCATTTTAAGTTCCTGCATGTAATGATCAAATGCAAAATGTAATTTCTGACGGTTGAGTGACTAGGAACGAATTAGTCAGAAATTACTATTCTGATGGCACGATCGAGAGGTTTTAGTATTCTCAGGGGAGAGTTTTGAGTATTTAATGTTTTAGCGGGGAATATAAATCATTCTAGCTCAGTCAGTCTTTCTGTTTGCTGTTGTCAATTTAGTTAAATTTTTTCTATGGAGTTATGGGTTTGTTTGTACCTCTTCCCCGAGGTTCCGTGCCACTGCATTAGATGGGGAATACGTTTCCACATATTTTTTGGCCACATCTAAAGAGTGGTTTTTTAGTGGTTTTTCGTATCTGGCGTGGTACACTTAATTTTTCAAGCTTTTCAAGTTTGACTTGCTTGCATATTCTATGTTGTAATAAGTATATGTTACGACACATTGTTGTTGTCGGATGACTGACTGACCATTCCTCAATAAACTATTTCACATTGAATGTTTCGTGATAGTGTAGTCAGAATAATAGAGTTTGTGCTGTGATAAAATGTGGTGAACACAGTTCATGAACATAGAAAAATGCACGGTATTGAGAAAATCAAAATTGACGGACAAAACTTAGCAATTTAGTCATAGTAGACATAATTTGGGGCCTTAGAGGACACTCCCTCCTCAACAACCCGCTAACGACAAAAAGTTTATAATCATACAGCTTCCGGCTTTCGATTGAGAAAAGTGGTGTGCTTTCTATAAGAGAGGGGTGAGAATTACTTGCCAGGGTGGTTTTGGGCAGACTATCACTTATCAGGCTATAAGAAACAAAGTCTACTATTCGCTCTGGCAAGGTTTACCATTCGCTATGACGAAAGGCTAACACTTGAAACGTCAGCTTTGAAACTCCTTACGGCGGCCAATTTACGTTGTCAACTCAGTTGATAGTGCTAAATTACCCTCTTATACTCTTCCACCGACGCAGCCCCACAGTTTCTTTAGAAACTTAGCCCCTTTATTCATTTCACTACAAGTAGTTCATTTGATTACCAGAGAATATACGCGTTTACAACTATTTTACTCATGTTACCAAAAAATATAGAGAAGTTAACTTGTTTTCTTTAACCAAAGGCAAACCAGTGGGCCGAGAAATTCGATGGTCACGGAAACATTTTTTGGCTAAATCTCCTTCATTAGTATCGTTTTCCAGGGAAATAGCTCGGGTATGAACACGGTTGGATTTATTAATGGCTTAATTTTTTCCACACCATTTCCCCCTCGCACCTGTCCTTCCTAATGGATCCTTCCCCCTTGTGGGTACATGAACCTGGCTCGATAAGGCAAGGGCAAATTTGGGCCATGAGAGGGATGGAAACCGAAAGAATGACCGTACTGATGTCGATCGATGAAGTGTAGATTAAAACCAACAAAAAAATGTAATCCCTTTTCAAATTTCAGGTCTATCTTTGGTTGAAAAGCTGAGAAATTTCCGCAGCTGCGGACTAAAAATTTCCCCTTTCCACAGCGGATCGAACGCCTCCCAACATCTTTCAGTACAAGTCACAAGCAATGAGAGAACATTTGCCTTTGGTCATTTTTGAGACCCCTATCCTTTTGTCTAACTTGGATCGAATCACGATGAACTCTGTGCAGTGACAAAAATAAGAGTCTTAAAGGACGAACTATGTGGTATGTAAAAAAAACCGGCATAAATTATGTTGACAATATTAACCTGGATAATCTTCAGCCGATTTACCACAGTCTTCTTCTAAAAAAAAAAGGTTTATAAAAATACATTTAGTTTTGTTTCTATTCTATGCCTACGCTTTGCAAGCATCACTATCGGTAACAGAAACAATTTTTAACATTCTATACCTTTTTTTTTGCTTTCAATGTTTTCGGTTATTTGTATGATTTTGATATATTTATTTCCTTTAAACCTCCCACAGTTTACGAAAGTAAAGTTTACGGTACTAGTACTTCCAAACGAGTACGTCCTGTGACCTTCGGGAGCTCACAAGTTGACGTCTCTCCTCCTTTTTTTCAAAACAAACATAGGGTTATACTGATTATAAAACGACCAAAAAGATCCAGTTCGATGATATCCTTCTCAAACCACCCAGACCAAACTAAATACGTAGCACCAGTCACTAGTCTAATAAGTAGCTGATACTAGCTAAATATCACATTTTCGTTAATGTGGTTTGTACAAAATGGCCTGTTTTTCTCACCAATCAATCAATCGATTAATCAAACATTTCAACAGATAGACAAAACTTACCTAGTGAGAGAGCATACTCCGAAACTTCAATCTGTTGCAAAGAATTTTGAGCACATAAATTACTCCTAACATTAGGGCCTCTAATAGTCAATAGGACCCAAACTACCAAACTTATTTTACTTTTTGAATGTTTCTATCAGAGTAGTATTAAGACCAACCACAATATGGGTACCAACTGATCTGACCGGTAATTACAAGTTAGTTCATGAACGGAGCACTCTGGCTGTCTCATTCTGAAAAATGTTACGAGCCGTTGGTAATTGTGTTTCTTTACAGTAAATCAGCTAAACGTGGCAATTCACAGTCTACTAATCTGTCATACAGATCTCCCACATTCTGTATCAACCGCTGTTTTCGAGCATACTCCAGCGCGGCGTCACATGGATTCAAAACTCGCTTGTCGAGGAATCTGATTTCTGCCGGAGTCAAACCCAGTTTCTCCGCTAAGGACATCCACTCATCTCCACCTAAGGGTAAAAAACGCAAAAATATTGAGTCCTGGTAAACGCTTTTTTTAATTATTAGACCTTGAAAGTTCTTTAAAGAATCTCAATGATTATTTGCAAAAATCGATTTGCGTCGCTACAGTGCGACCATGCTTCGGAATACTACATCAGTGGGAGAATGATAACGATCGCCTAGGAACTTTCCCTATCCAGCCCATTTCCGTGGAAGGTTTAAATTCATTTTACAATTGATTTCGACGAAAGAGACTTCGAATGAAAGTCTGTCACGGTGCATATAGCACCCGCTAGATAATTGGGGTTTGTACGTTGCTGACTTAAAAAATATATCACACAGAAGGGAAGGAAGGGGTCACAATTGGCCAGTCATTTGCAATTTCGAAAGTTTTCTCTTTTTTTTTCCTTTCCCCTCGGGTTCGGTATAAAATTAGAATAGCATTCTTGTATTGCTAACTTTCCATGCTCTGTCTTCCACTTCTGTCAACTGTTCTAAATTCGAAAGGGGTTATGAGACCTTCACCATTAAACAGTAGGTGAATTATTTTCATTTGGTCGCACGGAATTGTCCCAGTAACAGGTCACACCCAGGGGCCTGGTTATTTCTTGGTACAAGTCCCGGGGACTATCTTTTGGTCTCTGCGACAAGATTTTTTGATGAAAATGGGCAGTTCACACGAATGGTCTCTGTCGAAGAGTTTTTTTTTGATCATGTCTTCCGAGGGGGTTCACTTTTGCGCCTTTTGAGATAGAGTGCTCACAGCCATTAATACAATCGAGAAAACAAATAAAGTGGAGGACTGTGGAAAACGTTTAGCAATAACTTGGAAATTACTTGACAAATAGCCCTATGGAGTACCAAGTATTAACAAAGAGTTCCGTCTCACCGCTAAGGTGTATCGTTAATTCTTTTCTCAGATGCACAGGAATCATTGCAACATCACACTTTTCAGGCAACAAAGGACCTACCGGAAGAAAGATTTTTTCATGAAAGCAAAACATAAACAGCTGAGGGTATTGGTTGGGGTGGCATTTTTTCCGTATAGGATAAAACAAGACGCATACTTATTTATTAGACACCATTGTCACACTTAATGTGCATTCTATGGCTGCAGCATACTACTTTCACTATATCATCACTTCGTCGACACAATGAAATCCCAAAAGTGTTAAGCACGATCAGACTGGATGAGCAGTATGACTGAGCTGTTGCTGACCCTAAAGTAAAACTAGTGTCACATACGAACGAGACGCAAGGTCTAATTCACTCTCTCTATGACGCATGTAAAGGCAGAAAATGATAATGACCAGTGCACCTTAACAAATACAAGCCCAGCTCAAAAATGAAACATTCGATTACAAGTATACCCCGACATCCCTCTAACATCAGCAAAGTTAGACTTCAATTCACCTGTTGTACCCGCGGGAGTAATTTCTCTCAATTTCGCGACAACTTCCTGTTTTTTCGCAGTTTTAGCCTTTAAACAAAGGTAGCGGATCTTCTTCTTAGTGTCAGAATCTGGTTGTTCCAATGACAAGTTCTCCAAGGAGAGAATTTGCTGAAATTGGGCCACAACCTCACTTGCATCACACGTCTGTGAAGTCAGGGCCTCCAGCACTCCACTGCACAGGACAACTGCTCGATCGTTATGGGCTAGATCGCAAACGTAATGGTGTCAGAGCATACAATGAATACAAAACAGGAAAAAAATGAAACAAGAACATAGAAGGATACATAATTTCTTTGTATCATTTAATTATTTTCTACATCAGCACAACTGAAATTAGAAAATCGTTTAGACCTGAAAATGACTGGCTATGTTGGGTGAAAAATCTAATGGTCTACCCATATAATTAAACAGATACATAACAGAAGCTTACCATCTCCACTGCTAGGCAAAGGGAAGTTTTCGTCGTATTCGTCAGTGGCTTGCTATGTGAAGAAAAACAAATCAAGAAATTACCGCTTTTATATCGTCAGCAGTATTGTTAAGTATTACTGTTTTAATCAAGAAATCTAAGGATTAGACAGGGGCATCATGGCGTCGTGGTTTTGAGTTACACGACTACCTGCGCTGCAAATCCCTATTTCACGCCGTAAATCATTTTCTTTTTATATAACAGTGGAGCTAATTGAGGGAATAACAAGTAATATTTTATTCAGCAAGCTTTCGTCAAAATTTCACGTTCTGTCTTAACATGGTAACTTGAGCTAAAGAAGTTGAATTCCAAGGATATCTCTTCCTTTTTTGGGTGCGGGGAATGAACTCGTAATTGACAAGAAAAAGTCAGGAACAATGGGTACAGGTTCATTAGTATACATTACCTGTCCTTCTAGAGATCCAAACCAGAATCCAACAGAATCGACAGGAACCTTACAATTTAAGGCAACAACCGACCGGGTGCATACAATGGACCCACGGCTGGCGAGGAGCTGAGACTCTGACAAAAGGTGCAGGCACTGCTCTTCCTTACAGTCACGTACATTATGGTTGCAACAATGATTCACAGAACGACTTGCACAGCACACTGGACAGCATACTGAGAGATCATATGCCATGTTCTTTAGCCAGGGAAACTCTATTCGCATGCACTCGAGAATCAGTCTTAGTTGTCGACAGACTGCACGAGCAAAATCCACCTGAAAGGCGTCGTGTGTGGATTCTGAAGGCAAATTCAGTACTGATGCAACATCCGATAAGTGTCTAGCGGCACATCTTTCTTTGTAAACAGCTACCTCAATGAAGGAAGAATGGCATTTGAGGATTAGAGAACAACCTTCAGCAGGATGTGTGTAAAATCTAGCAAAGTTTTGATGCAACTGAGGTTGCGTTTGACTGGAAAACTCCTTTGTGCACCACTGAAAGACCATTAGGACCACACGAGAGAAAAGGCCGGACGGCACTTGACTAGACTTGAACTTGAGATAAAGTGGCGGGATCCCTGCACAGGCAATCAGCTTACTCACATCCTCCAGCGGTGGGAACCTCAACATGGAAGGTACAAGATATTCAGTGGGTGAATCAGTCGCGACTGATAACGACAAGGGACATAATAAGCAGAATTTCTCCATCATGGCAATGAGAGTGTGACAAGTTTCTCGGTTATCAAACAAGGGGCCCCATACATGCTGCAAGAGCTCTTCTTTCAAGATTCCCGTTCTCTCAAGCTTCAGCCACAGTTGCTCGTATTTTCTCTCTTTGCTTTGGTATGGCCTTATGGTAATTACCTCCTTGAAGACATCTATCAACCATTGAGGGTCCAAGATCACCATTCTGTTTAACTGTGGAGTGTCGTCAAAATGAATTAAAATTCTCTGATCGTGTAAGAAGTTCAACATTGCCACAAATTGTTCGGTGCTGGAAATACCACATTTTTCGGTCGCAATATTTTTGGCTTCATCGAGAGAAATCCACTTGTGGCCATCTTGATTCTTCTCTTTCATTTCCTTTTCAAACTTCAACCACTTGATCGGAATTGCCTCTTTCATTTGTGGTAACTCATTGGCAACAGTTTCTACCTCTTTTCTCAGACGATCGACTTCTGGACATTTTTCTACACTTCCGGATTTAGTGTTGTCTACAACAAAGACATCAACTATATGTTCCCCATAAACCCGCGTCTTCAATGAGCCAAATATCTTGCGGGCCAACGCATGAGGATCTGAACCTTGAAAAGGTTTATCAGCGTGGGTGCAAACAAGGAAAACTGGGGGAAGTCTTTCTGGTAATATTTCAGATGCAAGCATTTCCTGGAGGTCCTCGTCTTCCAGAACCAAACTAGATACAGAGGACATCCACAAGTCAAGATAATCCATGTTACTCCTTTCACAGAAAACATCCTCGATATCCTCGTAAAATCCGCGCTTCACTTGAGGGCTGACTTTTCCATTTGGATCTCGACTTAAGTCATAAACTAAAAGGTAAATCGCCCTCGTTGTAAGAAATAAAGGATGGGTGGCGTAATAGACAGATTGTCCACCAAAATCCCACAAAACTACGTAGAGATCTTCTTTACCTTGGGCACCTTCGGCTTCTTCTAGTTGAAGCAAATTTTCAAGTAAAGCAGCTATCTCATCCGGTACCTCATCAACCGTACCAGCATTCTTTTTCCAAACCTCTTGAGAAACTTTGGGGGCGGAAGGGTCAATCCCACTTGCAGGATTCGACGTATCCACATTTTTCATCTCTTTTGAGTTTATCTCTCCTTTAAGGCTCTTTAAAATGCACTGAGCGGTATGTTGTTCAAAGGAAATGTGTGCTGGATCTGAATTTGCCGCTTCATCTCCACTATCCCCAACTTTCCATACCTCTTGGGAAACTTTGCAGTAGGAAGGGTCAGTCTCTATTCCTATGGTGATGGTTTCTTCTGGGTTGAAACGTTCTCCTTTTAATGACCTCTTTAAACTTGTTTTTCCCGATTGACCTTGTCCAATGAACATGATGGGCGCTCTTTTTACAATGGTTTTCCCCTCTGAAAGGGCTTTACGATAGGCTAACACTGCTGAAGGACCTCGGGAAGTAATCTCCAGTGGGGCTGTTTGAGTAAATTAAGGAAACATTGTTTCAGTACTCTAATTTCCCATAAGATTATGTATTTTAAAAATAATCTGAATGTGGCAAATTTGTTGTTGTTCATTGTAAGTCATGTGGTAGAGAAGATGGCAGAGTCTTTTGCAGCAACTGGGGAAGAAGAATCTAAGTTGCTGCAAGGGAGCATTCCTAAGTCGACTGCCTACAAAACAAAATGGGCGATTAAAATTTTTCACGAATAGCAGATATATACAAAAGTTAAAGGTCCTGCACTTGATTCTGGTGGCGCTTTTAAAGATTATGGAGATTTGTACAAAGTTCAGTCGTTGAGTACAGATTTGGCAGATATGGATGCCAACGCTTTAAACTACTGGCTTGGTAAATTTGTCCAGGAGGTTGCGAATAGTGAAGGGAAGGTGTATCCAGCAATGACCCTTTATGGAATTATCTGTGGCATCCGAAGGCATTTGGAAGAAACTGTGGGATGCAAAGCTTTAAATCCTTTAGATTCTTCGGATAAAAGGTATGAGATGATATCAAATTTGTTTATTGCAAGATACTATTTCCATTGAATACAACAATTAGAATATAGATGTATCTTTTTTTAATCTTCCTATATTTTATTGTAGATTTGCTATTTTCCGTCGTTGTATCGATACCGAGATGAAGGGTAGTACGCGGCAAGGTGTGAGTTTGCAAACAAAGAAAGAAGACAAGGAAGCTGTTACAGACGAGGACGAAGAAAAGTTCTGGAGTGCAGGATTATTTGTCTGTGGAACAGCTAAGCAATTATTAGGTACTATTTAAAAAATGTTTGGCTTGCGCGGTGGTGAACATAGGAAGATTTGTGTGAATAACTTTTCTTTGGGGCCAAATGTTATTAATTTTGAAGAAAATGTATGCAAAACTTTCCATGAAGGTATTTCTGACTTTAAGTATGAACCAAGAAAAGTGAGGCATATTTGCCATAAGAGAGGGGTCAAGAGCATGATCGATGTTTAGTGCAGTTTTATCAATTGTACATTGGATTGGTTGAAACCCTTTCAAAAAGAAATGAAGCTTTCTATTTCAGGCCAAAGTCGAACACGTTGTTTTGAGAATAGTCCTGTAGGGATCAACAACTTGAATTCTATTTTGCCGAATTGTGCAAGGCTGCGGGAATCAAAAGAAAAACGGCACAATGTTTGCGTGTCACTTGTGTTTGTAAACTCTTAAATAGCGGTAGAGAAGAGAAATTAATTAGAGAGAGAACCGGGCACAGGTCTAATGCATTACTTGTTTATGAGAAAACATAAAACTATTAAAACACTCTGCCAAAATAAGGTTTTCGTCATCCCTGTGTTTTCTTTTTTTTAAAACATGAAACTATCTTTTTAACAAGAGTGTTAGCTGCATTTCAGTTCTCATTTTCCACTTTTTCTACGCGAGTCTTCCCAATACAACATGCTTTAATGGTCAAAGCTTTCTCCTCTCTCCCAATGATATTCATTTAAAGAGATCTAGCAATAAGCTGACAACAAAAAAATAGGGCCACTTTCAATTTTTAATCAAAAGTTCGCACAGTTGGCCAAAGTATTTCACTTACCTGTGGTTCTTGGTCCAATATCTAAACGATATTCAGGTCCCCAGACATTTCCTGAAGGGATAAATAACGTTTGGCAAAGAGTATGTGGCGTTAACCTGTTTAATTTATCGTGAATATAGACATTTTGGAAAAAAAATCAATTCAGGAGAAGCCATATTCTAAGACACCCTTTTAAGTACTAAATATTCTTGTATAACAAGTACTTGCTTCTTGCCACTTCTTTTCAATTTCTTCCCACTCTTTTTCATCTAAAGTGCAAGCGAATAATTACTATGTAGTGACTTATTGTTTCTTTTAAGGGTGAGCGGAAAAGCGTCTGATTTTTGAGATTTCAGCAGCATGTGTTCTCTTTAACATGCCGACTATGCCAGCCATCAGTGCCAGCACGTTTTGGCAGTTACGGACTTCTAGAGCTTATTTCAGAAAAATACAGTACTTTCTCTTGTAGCCATGACAGGAATAACCCACACCCTGTCCCTGAAATTAGCACACTTGTAAAATACTACACAAACAATTAGGTTTACTATTCATTACCAGTAAGCTCATGTCCTCTGAGGGGATTGAGAGAATGTTTTTTCTTTGTAGTATTTTACAACAAATCGACAGTAAATACTGTGATCGCCTCTCAAACTATTAAAACACTGTGCCACGAATAAGTTTTTCTTCATCCCTGATTTTTCTTTTTTTTAAAACATGAAACTATATTTTTGACAAGAGTGTTTGCTGCATTTAAGTTCTCATTTCCCATTTTTTCTCAGCGAATCTTCACAATACAACATATTTCTTGATTTCAACGAAAACTTGCTCTACCGCAGTTCAAATATATTTTTGACAGGCTTAATGATTAAGACTTATTGTAAACCTGTCTACAGTACACGCGAGTCCTTCACAAGGACTTCATAATTCATTTCTCATAATAAAAAAAAGAGTTTGATGAACTTAATTTTAACTCGTACAAGAAATATCTAACTAATAACTGTCAATGGTCAAAGCTATCTCCTCTCTCCATTGAAAATTGACATTATCAACATTATCTGATTGCCTTTGCCGTCTCTGAACTTCTCCCACGTATTTCAAATGGGCTCGCCCCTAAGGAAAAACATTATTTGGTTGCCTTTGCAGTCTCTGAACTTACCCCATGATGTGTAAGGTGCTCTTCTCCCAGGTATTTCAAATGGGTTCGCTCCTATTGAAGGGATCATGAAATAAGGCTTTGCAAAGAATAAGTAGCATTAACCTGTTTTATTTATCGTAAAGATGTTGCAGCCTTTTCCAGCTTAAAAATATGGTTACCATGGTGGGCATTTTGGGAAAATATCTGTTCGAAATCAGCAAAACTCACATCACCCGTAAATATATGATTCTAGAGTCAGTTATCATTTGGACTGCAAGCAGTTCCTCCTCAATTTTTTCTCCTCATCTCCCAGGTTTGACTAAGTAGAGCATTTTCCACAGATTGTTTTTAAAGAAAAAATGGGTAAAAGCACCAAAGTGCTCTACATAACCAGGGACTGATTTCATTAGAAGCCGGTTTCCCAGCGGATTTGGACCCCCCTAGATTTGGATCCCCCGGTCCAAATCCGCTAGCGGTTATGGACCCCCCGATCCAAATCCGCTAGTGGATATGGACCCCCCAACAAACTGAGTGAAAACATCATCCTTAACGTTCTAGTAAAAATGGATGATACTTTACGTTCCAGTGCGTACTAAAGTATGTTTTTAATTAAAAACATGCGTATCGTTAATGCATTCGAACTGGCATCCCGTTGGATGTTTCTTTTGACCAAGGGAAAATAGGCAAGAATTTAGTTTAATGTCTGGAGAGAGGTCGTTTTTGAACCTTTTCCGCGATAGTTGAACACCGCTAGATTCAATAGGAGACAAACTTGTGACACTTATTTATTTTGTCATTGTTCAATGCCCAAGTATTAGGACGACATGGTACAGTGCGAGTTGTGCGAGGAAAGGTTACACATGAGCTGCGAGGGATTTAAGACTGCCTCGGAGGGCGAATGGCTCTGCATTGTCTGCAGATTGCCAGACTCTAGACGTCTTCGTAATTGTTAAGGTGTTATTTCGGATCCCTCAACAGTTAATAATCGTTAAAATTATAAAATAAGATTGAGTTCGATGTAATAGTCTCCACTTTTGTTAAGACGTTGACATTGATATTGATTTGCATCTGAAAATAAGCTGAGAGTTCCAATAGTTCAGAATAGAAACATTTTTACTAATCACAGGCGAACGACTTGTTATAAGAGTAGTTTCTTCGTTCTTGTTTAAAAACTGTTTGATGCTATAATTTTAGAAAATCAGACCGAGTTATTTTTGTGACTGGATGCAATAGTGTCCACTATTGTTATGAAGTTTCGTACTAATGTTGATTCGCATCAGAAGAAGCAAAGATTTATTGTAACAATTTCAATAGTTCGAATCCAGTAGTTTGTTCACATCTAATTCTTGCGTATACTGTATGACTCGCTATAATGAATGCGGTAGAATTGAAACGAAATAGCCGTTTTTTTTTTTTACCTTCATTGAGGAAATTTTGCGTTGTGATTGAAAAGAACATCGACAAAAAGGCTTGCAAATAGAATTAGTTACCAAATATGATACAAAAGATGCTTAAAAGGAAAGTTTGGTAGGGGGGTCCAAATCCGCTGTTACACCGACAATCGGCGAACTCCGGCGGCTACGCTCCACAACGGAGCCGGCTAATATGGAAATCATTCAATATATCCTGAAGGCAGTCATCAATAAAAGTGTTTTTTGTTGATATTTTGTCCCTTTTTTTGTTTGTTGGGTGATTTTTGTAACGACTTCTAATAATTCAATCAACACGCGTACGGATCAACTACGCGATCGGTTCGGTCAGCATTAGATTCCATCCATCCGTCAGGGGTCTGAAAATCCTATAAATCTTCCACATCTGTTTAAAGTAACCTTTAATTTCACATGAATAAGTATACACTCAAGATGCAGAATGTCTTACATTTTACAAATTATTTCCCTTTTTATGGATAGACAGTGAAATGCCTTTGCCACATTGGTGAATCAAACCATTGTATACCGTGTATTTTGTGATAATTGTTTGTTTTTGCTCACAATATCCAAAACAATTGAGGGGATAAATTTAAATAGCAAATTCTATTAATGGTTAAAATTAAATAACATTGGAAGATCAAATTAACTTTGTACTGTTTAAAATTCAGTTTTGATTTCTTGCCTATTCCAGCCTCTTAGTATTCAAAAGCATTCCTTGTCATTTTTGTGTTCTTTTGTGTAACATAACTTGAAAAATAAACACAGAGAAAGGAAACCACAAAGGATTAAACTTGGAGCTAAAGCAAAGTTTAAGTTGAGCCATAGCTGATCCAAATACTGAGCACTTTATACTGTAACCCATTTAGCAGTAAAGTTTATCTATGTCTGCCAGCTTGTCACAAGTCTTACCCCTCTCCTCTAAAAGTCTCTATAAACATATTTTTCTTTGTGGTCCCTAATTGATGATAAGTATATTAAAGCTCCTCAATTTCCCTCTGTCAAGACAAGGTTACTCTGAATTTAACAAAGTAATGGACTTGATAAAACTCAAACTATAACTCAGCTGGCTGCTACTCACAACCTTAATTTCTTGATATCAGTATACAATAATCAATATGTTATAAATAAGAACCCTAATGCTTAATTTTGCAATGATCACCTTCCTCCTTTTCATTTGCAGACCAGACTGGAACCTCCATAGGTGTGTTTGCTTGTTTTGAGTGGGGATGGAAGAAAAGGAATCATGCCACATATCTGATTTATTAAACCGGATTCGTTCTGTTTATACATGGGTAGAACTACTTTGTTCTCTGAAAAAAATAAAATTTCTCACATTTTTATCTGTGCTTTGCAGTCAAACTTCCTTGTGTCTTGAACAAGAAATCTTATTTTCTTGAAAACAAAATCTTTGTTTCTGGCCTTCTGTAATAGGTAAATATAACAGTGTAAGATGAGTGATAGTGTATTTCTCAAGTTAATTTTTTGGAATGTGACAAAACGGAGGTGTCATAGCGTGATAAGGAGCCAATTTATGATTGCTTAATAGAAAGCAAAAAATGCAGAATTGCATATATTTTCTCCTTTGTCAGCAGCATATGTTAGTGAAAAGTTCTTACAATTGTTAACTTCTAAACCACCTTCAATTTAGCCAAGATTGAACTGTTATCACGTTTGTCATAAAAGTATTCTGAGATCATTGTCATATGACCCATTCATGTGTGTATTTGACCTTTCGAATTAGCAAGCTATAGTTGACAGTAACACAAAGGTTGAGGATAAAAAGAAGATATTATATACAGTACTTCTTCTGCATCTTTTCGTTTCCTTTTCTCTCCAGCTGTTCTATCTATGCCGTACTGGCAATTGAACACTTTCCTTCCCAAAATTAGGAAAGGCACACCAGTAAAAAACGAATTTTTGCTCCTTAAATATCTCGTGCATCTTCCCAGAGTATTTTGTGACTTCTGTCCGAGGAAGGAGGTGTAAGCATTAAGATAACCCGAATGATTCCACAATTGTGGTATCATCCAAGCCATGCCAGAGGACTTGAACTAGATAAACTAGTGAGAATGCACAATAGCGATAGCAAAGCTTTGTAACCACATTGGTGATGATGGGTCGGAACCCAATCTGGATCGTAACGATCCCACAGTTTAGCCGTTTTTCTGGAGATAAAATCTTTACCACAGACCTAACCCCGATTCAAAATGTTGTTTGTGAGGTCTTCCCAAACGATCGCAGAAATCCATTCGTTTCGCCTCTCCTTGGAAAGTTTCCGTACTTCTTCTCCTCGATTAATAATAATTGAAGGTATCCTTGCCATATTGATTCCTTTATCACGACCACTTCGGGTCGCACAGCCAAAAATCGCCCGTAGAACCATTTTTTAAATCATAAACACAACTCGTGGTCGTATGTTTACAGGCAAGGGAAGTGCACCAATATGGCGGCCACTTAGAAGGAGGTCATATGACTGAAAACGATCTATATAACAAAAATCCACTTGTTCTGATTAATTTCCACTGCACGTTCAGTTAATATTTGTAACTTGTGAACTTTGAATACAATTGATTTCCGGCGTTGAGTTAAATTCGTCTCGAAAAAAACAAAAGCGAAACCCCTCTCTCCACCCGCTGTACGACCGTAAGGTAATTTTGTTACTCAGTCTGAGATTTACCTTTTCCTGAGAGCGAAACTCTCCTAGCTTGACTATAAAGATGTTTAAGCTTGCTGGTAATGTTAGCTATGTCGCCTGTTTTCCCAAACTTATTCTCCATCATCGGACCGGTTTGTAATTCAGTAGGTGCAGTCATCTGTGAAAGAAAGGAATTAATTAATTCGTCGAAAGTAGCGAGTGTTACGCCGGTTAAATTTCTGCTTAACTAAATAGAATTTATTCAGGTTCGGGCAAAACATTGGCGGAATTTTCACCTGAGCTTATTCTCTATTATGAATGCAGTTCTTCGATAACGGAAAACAATGGCGAAAAATATGATGCTTTTGGGAATAAGCGGCTTTATTTTCAAAATACTGTGGGTGATATAGAAACCTTTCCGTAAAATTGAGGGGATTAAGTTCTTTTGTTAATAGAACAAATTCTTGAAGTTTCGACTCTAAGCCAAATACCTCAGTACAAAATTTGAAATCATTGGTAATGACTTAAATGGAAAACATAATCTGCTTCCGTCGGTGGAGGGGTAAGAAAGTCTTTGATAGACTCAGCTGCTCGTCACATTGTTTCTACGATACAGTTGTGTGACAGCTTGTGAGCATAAACATAACGCTTCGATCAGTTTGCGCTTGTCTTCGAAACCGTGAACTATACTTTCATTTCACTTTGCCCAAATGTGACTGATTATTCTGATGCTCACTTGAGAGAAAAGACAAACACAAATTTCTTACCCTCCAGCCTCTGCGTTAGTTTTAAGCTGGACTCGATGATTCAGCTTTCCACCAAAGCTCCTTGATTACTAACAGCTTGCGATTTAAGTGACAGAGGCAACCTATCAACATCAGTGATGCAAAGTTAACTCAGTGACACTAATTTGTTTACCAAACAGAGCCGTATGTCTTTTTAAGGATTTTGCCGGATTCGGAAAGGTAAAATTCGAAAACGAAAAGCTAACTACATGTATATTCCAAGACTGACCGCTTGCAACTCTGCCAACCAGTTCAAACACGTATATGTGTAACAGCTTCAGCAATTTCCTGAAGGAAGTGTCACGGTTATTTAAGATGATGAGTAACACGTTCTGGCATGATTTTGAAGTACGCATTTATATTTAGGTTTTTTTTTTTTTCAATTATTCGGTTTAAGGAGGATTACTTGTTTTGTCTTCAAGGGACTAACTTCTGGGATCTTTCAGATTTCGCTTTCCGTTTTGTGATGAGGCCAAAATCAAACTGTGTTTGCGTTTTTAAGTAAAGGTGACAATAGGTAAAAACCCCTAATCCATCACAAAACAAACTTAATAAAGTGCGATCTGATCACTAACCCTATGTCGAGATAAGGGAAACTCCCAAAAAAAATCAAAATAATTATTATATTTTAATATGATAAGAGAGACCAAAATTTCGAAGTCGTAACTCCAGCTGAGCACCTTTAACGCATTCGACCGCGAAAGGATGAAAACAACATGCATGAACTACTCAAGCAGTGTTTGCTCTTCAGTGGCTCCTACGCCAATGATCTATGATGTTTTTTATCATTATTATCCAGATTGAAACTGCGTACCTATTCATCCCTTTCGAAACTTTTATAATCAGGGATTCGTGCAAATGTTATGTCGAATTCATGTCGCTTTTGTCGAGCGCCTTATTTATCAGCAGCACAGGGAAAGTCAGCTGTAACAGCAATAATGGTAGATTCAAAATTGGTGTTGTGCTTCATATCGGATCCCTTGGCGATCGACCAACATACAAAACGAATCGTTTCATCGACAAACTGAGCTAGTATGCTTTTACATAGTAAAGTGCTGAAAATTGCATTAGCTGGGCAAGTTGCTTTTCGTGCATTCGAAGTATCCGTTCCATTCAGCTCGATTGACACCAAGGACGTTTCTTACCTTCCCAAGCAGATGGCCGCTTCGGAACGTGCAGTAACAAATTCTGGTTCGATTGCTCGGCAGATCGAACCAAAACAGTTACTTCTTCATGTTAACGTGTCTTTGTTTTCTCCAGCTTGTAAGGGAATCGAAAGAAAGAACGCTTCCTTAAGCAGTTTGGCCAGCCCAAACAATAAGACAGTACAATGGTCACCTGGCACCATATCACGTGATCGAAGTTTGTTTACAAGGTGAGCATTTGTAGCGTTGCAGTTGTGTCTTCCGTTGTAGTTATGTCCTCACACCTAATAACCAATAGAATGCGGTTTTATTTCTTCCAATCAAAGTGCGTTGTGAACGTGTCTTCTGCGTGTCACTTCCCAACTAGGGGAGGGATGCAATGCAAAATTGTGAGACTATCGTTAAGTTTTCCGCGCTCGAAGGTTGAGAATTTTATGGGCTATTCTTGTTTCATGGGCTTATCCTTGATGCCTTTTGGGACACTTCGGATTGTTGAAAGATTAATATTCTTGTTGCGTTTTTAAGCGCGAAGTATCAGTGAAATTTTCTTCGATACGTTGGAAAGGTTAGGAAGACGAGAATTTGACGTAGCTTCCCTTATTGGTTTGGAGTGTGCTGGTGATCGAAGTTGTGCTTTTTTGTCGGAACTACTAAAGGAAGGTAAGGTTTCGGTTGCATTTTATGTTAGTATTTTGTTAAATTCAAATATTACAACCATTCTTCAAAGATCACGTTCAAGTTTTGGGCTTAATACTGTAGATTTCATGTGACAGCATGGCGAAGCGTGCGAGTAACTACTAACTTGGATTCATTGAATCCTTCAGTGTCGAGGGCTGATTTTTATATTTTGCGTGGGACATGTAAAACTAGATGTTACATAATTGAAAAACAGGGCAGATCTCGGTGTTTCAATGCCCAAAAATGTGTGATTTTCTCCATCTCATTGTGCCTACAATGATGGCTATTATGGATACAGTGGAAGACATGTATTCATTGTAAATGTATGGGACTACGCAAAAATTCAACCTCTGGTATGGTTGATGTCAAATATCACATATCCTGGGAGGTTAACTCACAAACTGCTAACTCGTATGATGAAGATCTGGTCTCTTTCATAAAGGATAGGGTGCTGTCTCCCAATGCTCTCCAACAAGTAACAGTTGGGTTACAATATATTAAATCATTCTCTTTGCTCACCCAGAAGGGACAGAATTGCAGCAAAATTACTCTTCACTTAATAATTAGTGCTTTGCTATTTAAATCAGTGGCTGACATATGCCACTTTCTTTATTTTGATCAATTTAGAGTAAAGTCCCCTGTACCAAATTATAAGGAATATGATAACAATATGTATGTTATATGTTACCACATTATCCATACTTTTTCAGCTATGTTTCACAAACATTAAAATGAAATAAACACTAATTCATGCAGAAATGAATACTTAATTCAATACAGACTATTGCCTACTATTAGCAATTATTGCTCCTACATGTGTTAGCAAGAACTTGGTCTTGTTGGCATTCATTGTGAGCATTTGGCGATCTGTATATTAGTGGAGAAACTCTCTGCAACTATCTTTGCTAAGAAAATACCAATCCTTTCACCCTTACTAAATATCATTCATACAGGCATGGATGAGAACCAGCAGCAAAGCAAAGAAAACAAAAGTGCTGATGAGGTGGTAAGCTCTATTCTAAACATTTTCTTGGCGAATTATGCACTAGTTATAAAAAGGTATATGTTGTGCTTAATTTTTGTCCTTGGTATAAACATCATTTTCCTTTGGTTTTGTTAATGATATGAATGAAAAATGTATTTTGTGTAAAGAAAGATAAAATTTAGCTCCTAGCCTAAGTTATGATGAGATGATGTGTCACTATCAATTTGGCCTCTATTAAAAGTAAAAGAATTAAACTAAGGATAAAACTAAACCACAGCATACCTATACTAAACCCTCAGCCTATTTGTATCAATATTACTATTTTTTCTGGTGTTCACCCAATAGATTCAATCCACTCACAGACAAATATGGCACCTGTGCATTTTACTATTACTCTTAGGCTAAGGCACTCGTAGAAAGCAATATTTCACAAAACAACAACATTATGTATGCAAGGTTTAAATTTTCAGACCTTTACTGCTTGTTTTTATGATTGGTTCCAGTATTTTCTTGCACAAAGAGTTCTGGTTGAATGTACCAGTCACCATGTTTTTTGGTATGGTGGTTTACAGTAATTGTTGTATGAAGTAACCTTCACCAATATTAATTTTGTGAACTTGTCACTGACAAAGAGCTAGTTCATGATTAGACATTGATCGTTTCATTAATTGCCATGCTCTACATTTATCATTGAAGTACTGATTAACTCCTTTGCCATCAGTAATTGCATTAAAGATACTGTGTTAGAAATCACAGCACTGTACCCCAAAATCTAATGTCGTCCTCAGCACAATCTCATTTTTTGAGCAAGGCAAAAGTAAAAATCAAACAAGACCACACAGACATCATCACAGAGACAACATTGCTATGTATAATGTTTATATAGTTAGTTACATAAAAGGTACTCTATTCATTAATTCAGTGTCAATACTCACCCTCGTAGCAGCTATAATTTTTAGCCAACTTGGGAAATAGTGGCCTAAAATGGACCCTTTTGGACATCTAAACTTTTAAATTTCCAGGGGAAGGTTCCCCAGACTTTGCCATCCAAGTGGGAATAAATGGCTGTCACACTGTCATTTTGGTCCCTCCCAGCTGCTCAAACGTTGTCCCTCCTTTCCACAATCTTACCAAAGCCCCCATATGTGTAGTAATAAAAACATTGAAGTGAAGTGTGCTATCTCAGCAAGAGGTGATAATCATGCACACTTTTAAGTGAGTCATCATAGCAGATGTTTGGTGAGGTATTGCATTCTGTGCTCAAAATCTAGTTCATGTAGACCTGGGAAAAAAGAATGGGGTGTAGCAGCCATTCATGTTGTTTAATTGCTCTAAGCTCTAATTCGATACTACTGTTCATTTGGCTATCTTTCTTGCCAATACTGTTTCGTTATTTGAGTTTTCTTGAAGACACTTCCCATTGAGAAGAAGCATTATATGTGTTTACAAATTAGAAGTAAAGAAAAGTGAAAAAAAAAATAGGAGAGTGACAGGATGGTATCAAAGACAGTGGTACAATTTTTTTTTGCAGGGGTCATTTTTTTATTTTTGAATCAGAGTTTTAGCCTAAGTATGTCTAAGTTTCTACACTTGTTGTTTAGTCTTGTGACTTCTTGCTTTAAGAAGTGAGGTAAAATTGTTTGAATTTGTTTTTTTCATTACAGCCACTTGAGTCTGTAAATGGAAAGAAAACACTGAAAAATGACGGTAGGGAATACATTGCTTGCACTATAAAGTATTGAAAGTAATTTGCAACTCTCCATATTTGTTATTTGTAATTGACATGCTTTGCACAGGTGTTGTGGGGTTAGTGGAGAAGTTAACTGTATTTCAAAAATTAAATCACTTTAAATTGCAGTGAAAGCTATTACTTTTATAGTTATAAAAGTATCAAAGGTAACTTCTCTGAGAACCTTCTCCAGTGTCTGTGATATAGAAGTGTCCACTAAATATAGGTTCATTTATTAAGAAATGTGGGAAGAA